TGAGACAAACATTCCGTCTAAACAGACGTAATTGTTGAAATCCCGAAGAATCACCCAACTATACACTGCAAAATCCAAATAGATTCTCCTTTCAAAGAATATCTGGCACTAAGTTTAGTGTCATTTGACCGGAAGTTGACGAGTAAATTCGTATCGCTTGTTATGCATGATCCAGTTGCTAAGAATTACTTGTCTCGTCTTTAAGGAATACGTCCAAAGCTCGGTGTCATCAAGTCGAAAGAGCTGCGCACCTTCATCAGACTCTGATGATCCACAATCGTCGTCATCCTCATCGCTACAGCAACAATGGCAAACATCTTCATATTCAGCCTGATTGAAATGATGACTGATGCCTTAAAAAGATTTCATAAACTAAAATTATCACTAGTTGATTTTGATCGACTGATCAAGCAAATCTTCGTGATGCTATAAGTGATTAAACTTTGCCAGGTGAAGATGCTATCAAATTTGGCAAATAAATGCATTGAAATGACGTTTCTGTGTGAGTCATTTGTGAGTTGTGACAATTCATACAAGCAGTACATCGAGGTTACGGATTCTGCTGAAACATTGGATAATTTTTAACGACCACATTACCTACCCACCACCAGTTTGGTGATCATCTTTTAATTATGAACAACCGTTTTGCCTTGAATTCTCACATAATCACCAACAATGTCATAGCTGATAACATGACCCTTGAATATTGCAATGAATCGATCAGTGTTTTGGAATCGATTTTCCTGATATCTCTTCAGAAAATTAGGCAAATCTGAGCGACAGAGGATATTCCCTCGGTACAATACATACTTGTGGGGTTCAGAATATGCAGAATCGGAAAGCGCTCATTGCTCAATGTTCGGGGATGGATGTTTTATGATTTTCGAGAGCTGTGAAAACCGCTGATGCGCATTGCTCTCTCTCTGTCTTCATGCTGCTTTGGTACACGCCCGTTGGCCTATTGTCCAGTTGAGGCTTGCTTTATCATAGACTTGGGCGGTGCTAAATAGCATTTGCCGTAAACTCAAACAGCTAAGGCTACCTCAGGCTCAAGCGGAGGCTCATAGCAGAGCTCAAGGTTAGAACATGAGAGATCCACGTATATTTTTCTTTATCGTGTTACCTATGAAATGCCTAATGCGACATTCTTATACTTATAGCGCACGGAAAATCTCATTTTCTATCAATGAACACAGTGTTCAATCATTATAATCCAATGCTTACGAGAAATTTTCTTCGTTCTGCTGCATTGTATTCGTTACGAATTGTGGTCCTGTACTGCATCATTTTCAGCTATCAGTTGATAACTGGGTATCACTATCTTCCAATGAATGTAAACTGAAACAGGTTCAAGCCAGCGGCCGTTTTATATTTATTCTTATCGGTCATCGACCGAAACCGCAGCAATAATATCATGTGGCGAATTTCAAGGGCTTGTTGCTCAAGGTTTGTGTTTACCTTTCTTTTAAAATTATTACCAACAGTGTTGCTTTTAACTTTGACAAATTTTTCAGCACTTTACAAGTCTATTTTTTCAGTGAAATCTGATCTAGGATAACTTTGTGATATCGATATATTGCTTTTCTTATGTTTCTTTGTTTCAGGCATTTTCTCTCGCTTAATGGCTGCTTGTATTTGACATCGAGACGATCGAAATCGTTAAATGCATTCGCCGAAAAGGTTCTTTCTGGTGAGTGCGTGCATTTTTCTTACAATTAGATCACATAATTCATTCTGCGTGGAACGTCACTCAGAACTTAGGAATGAATCTGAAGCATATAATTAACAACCTTCTTCATCCCGCAAAAGTTATTCCGATATGTTATTCATTGTCAGTATTTCTTCTCTGAGCAAAAACATTTCAGATTCATTAACATTTCGTCATCGCGCCAGCAAATTATCGCGAGGATCTTCCCTGCCATGGTTTTTGTACGATGAGGGTGGAATGAGTGTTCCAATATTTATCAAACGACCTAATAATGTTAATAGGTAAGTACATGAAGTTTTCTTTTTTTTAATCATTATCATTATTATTATTGTTATTATGTTTGGAATTAAAAATTAGTCTATTTGCCTTGGGAATATTTCGTGCATATTTTTACTTATTCAGCAGATATTTATCACTTTGCTCACACTAATCGAACTGACTGTATCGATACGCATCAAAAAATTCATAAATTCAGTGAATTACTGTACGGTTTGAGGTCTATGTGGTTCTGATTATTCAAAATCTGCATGCATTTCGCTCTACGTTCTGCATTCTAGCAGTGTCTCTTAATTATGAAAGTCTAGGTTTCATGAGTAGTTTATTGTAATCTCACTTATTGTTTTACAGTACACATGTACCTGATATAACCGATCATTTTGGATTGCTTTCGTTCAGCCAACCGTCAACAAGTGGAGAATCGCCATACTCGTTGGACGAAAAGGGTGCGGCAACTTTCAGTAATCACTTCATAATTAGTTTCGAAATTTGCATAATGTGGTTGTTAACAATATGGCGGTTCCTTGAAATGTTATAAAAGAAATTTTTAGTGACCTTTATCCCGACCGTACTGGATGATTCTGCTGAGGAGTCACGTCTGGTTAACAGTCCTCAGGCTGGCTCAGAAGATTCGAGTGCAGCGATTGGTAATGACTGCGAGAATATGAATATCTCAAAAATATTGGAACAGTTCCGTGAAGAAGTTCGTGATGGCTTGAGTGACTCTGGTGCCAATATGTATGAATCGAGAATACTCGATGAAGAGATCACGCAGCGGGCTCATAGGTGTCTCTTTTTGTCTCTTTTTATGTGCATTCAGAATATTTGAACTTGAGCAGATAGCGTTTTTATTAGCAGCGCTATCGGAATGAAAGCGGTAATCTGAGTGTTTCTGAACTTCAGGTACATCCTTCCGAATTTCCGAAGGCACAAATTTTTGCGAAAGTTGTTGCCACATCGGGATTATGTGTTAATCCGTCGAAGCAAGTATGCTAAAAACTGCCGATTGGTTCGTATCTTCTCCATCCTTTATAATGTTTCTATTCCTGAATTTTTCAATTTCTTGGTTTATTCGGAAACTTGGTTTCAATTGTTTTGTGAAAATGCAATCGTGATCGAATTTGCTTGTCTGCTTAAGATACCTTGGATGAAACTAATATCGTGGTTTTAGATTAGATTTGTTGAAGAATCTCAGATGATTTGAGAGTAATATTCCTTGTTATTTGATGAGCATTCAGTGAATTTTTTCTTCAGCGATCCAGCAATCATCAGCATGTTGTGCCGAGGGTCACAGAAAGGCTTCATGCATCATCCGTTGTTGCATCCCAGTCAAACGCACGCAATATTTTATTATCATCTGCTGAAATGAACAGTCCAATGTCTGAACAAGCTAGCCAGAGAGCATCGTCTCCAAATAGCGACCAATCCTCTGCTCCAAGGAGTGAGGAATCTGAGAAATCGGAGGAATCTGAAAGAAATGTCGATCAGAAAGAAGCGCCTGGCCATTCTTCAGTGAGCAGGATTATGTTCGACCCATTGGAGGTTCGGGTTGAGGAGATTTCGGCTGCGCAATTGAGGAAACTAACGAAACAAAAGGTTTTTCATTTGATTCATTGCATTACTCTGGTACAATTAGGGGTGAATGAAGGGAGTTACGGTGCCTAGAGTGCAGATCTCAGTGAAAATGGGACGGCATCCGTTGATTTTATCTTGGGTCTGTTATATTTCATGGCTCTTCTTTTAATTCATTACTTCCAGGATATTGAAAATTTACGCATCATGCTAAACGAACACCACTGGCCACATTTCGAGACAATCAAGGAGTTCATCTCAGAGCTGTTTGAAGTGTTCATCGTGAAAGGAGTGAATTGTGACGAAGTGAAACGGCTGATGTGGGATTTGTAAGTGGCGTTTTTATTTCTTCGTTTGTGATTTTGTTTTCGAAATTTCAACTTATTTATCTCTTGTAAACAATTCCTTTTTTGCACATTTTTTCATTTTTAAATTATTATTCTTGTATAAACTGTGGAATATTGTGCATGCAGATGGATAATTTTATGGCCGTATAGAGAAGTTATTGGTAGTTTTGTGATAATTTTATGTGTTCACGAATAAATCAGAGTGGATTGCAATTGCAGTGCAGCAACGAACAACCGCGCGTATGTGCGTGACGTCGTGGTTGTTTCGTTATTGGAGAGAATCGTACGGGAAGAAGGAATAGAAGCGGCGATCAGTTATGCACGATTGAATAGGGATATGTTCCTTGTGAAAGCGCGTTAGTTTTTGAGTTGTTAGTTTGTTTTATTGGACAAGACCGTCGTGTTTGTTTCTGGATTATGTTATTTCCAGTGATGGGATTGAGTAAATGTTTTTGGCAGGAATTTTTTTCCGTTGAAGATTTCTTTTTGTGCTCGTAAAAGGCTTTATGAGATTATATCTGATGTAAGGAATAATTGGCTGAATTAGAATTTTATCACAGTTTGTATTGAGAAGAAAGGAAGTTGAATGGGGCTGAATGTTGTTGTGATTATTTTTGTAAAAGTTTTATGTTGTAAGTTTTTTTGGTTGTTTGCAGCGATTGAAAGGCGAAGCAAAAAGTCGCTGCAGAAGCTCACCGAGAAACTTTTTGCGACTGTATTCGAATTCAGTAGCTCGGCAGCTGACTCGTCGGCTGATCAAGTGAAGCAAGCAAAGAAACTTCAGGATATCCTGGTGGAGCTAGGATATGTGAATGACTGTAGTGCTTTTTTGCTAGCATCAGTTTCCAGCCATTTGAAAATGTTAATTTTTTTTTATTATTTGACTGTTTTAGTTGTTTTTGATTTGTTGTTGTTATGGATATTGTA